TGTCTTCAGATATCACACATCACTCGTGTGAGCCGCACTGCATAGAGCACTGACCAATGCACCCCCACCCCCCCTGCAGTTATTAATGAAAAACAATCAGCCATGGGTTAGAATAACCACGGGCAATCTGACGATGGCTGAAACGCCTCTGTACAGGTGGTGTCATCGCCTGCTGCAGAGCAGTCCTCAGGGGGTGGTGGGGGTCTGTCTCGACCAGCCCCCCCCCCCCCCCCCCCAGACTAACGACCTGTACGTCTGCCTTCGCTCACCTTGCTCCGGTCATCGTAAGTGAGAGCAGGCCCTGCACGGCCGATGGTTTATAATCACCGTTACTCACCGTGGCCACAAGCCGTGGCCACAAACGGTCATCATTGATCTGACTGAGTCGGCGTGACGGACACAAGATTAGTCGAATTAATTTAACGATAACTTTTTTAAGGCCCGTTTCTCGATTCGTTGCTGGATGAAGACATCCGCACGCCACGTCTGTCACGTGGGTTTGTTTGTTTTCTTCCAGTGTTCACCACGCTGCTCAGTCGGGGGTTGGTGCATCAGGGTCCAGGACCGTTTCAGATATCAGTCGCTCGCCACCGTTGTTGGTCCTGGCCGCGAATCGAACATAGGTCACAGGTTTCATAGCGCAGTGCGCTCATTACTGCCTCACTGCTGCCCCTCGTTGAAGCTGCTTCCTGTGGTGGTGCGGTTGATGATGGCCAGCGAGAAAATATAAATATAGCCATATATATTTAGTAGACATTCATGCCAACATCATCAAAACTAAAGGTTATTTGTAAAATTGATAAATATAAACGTGCAAAGCAATTAACACTTTTGCGGTTGCACTGCTCGGAAAAGGCGTATTAGTTTCAACTTAGCATAAAAGTAGAAGTGATGGCTAAAATATACTGACATGTAATTATAACACCTCCAATGATTTATTGGAAAATGTAAATACATGCTGTAAACATGGATAAAAAATGTTATGCTCCCAAATACAATACGGTATACGCAATGTACTGCTTAAAAACGTCATTATTTATTTGTATCATCTTACACCTGGTGAGGTGGCGCACACGTTTAGCGTAATTCTTTGGAGGAGAGAGTTGATGGATCACGGGAGATAGGAGTACAGCGAATGGGTTTTCTGGACCCGTTACATACGATTGGACCATTTAGTGTCCGTCACATAGGTGCTCACTGACAACACTTCCCACAACAGTCTGTTAAGGCTATACGGGGGATCTTTGTGTTTGTCGCTTCGTACACGTGGGTGTCTCCCGGGTGGTCGTGTTTCATCCCACAAACCCAACATTCCTTAGTTGAACACGTCGGCTTGTGCGACCAATATTAATCATAATAGAAGTTTTTTTTAGGTTAGATTGAATAAATATAAATGTTTCGTTAAACCCGCCACCGCCCGACACAGCCAATGAAATGTTCTGAGTTTACTATCCAACCACACTGGTGTCCTGAACTAGTAACTAATTGGCATGTTTTGTTTACATGAAAAACCTTACTAATTGGCTGCGTCCGGGCGGTGGCGGATTTAAAGACGCATTTATATTTGCTCAACACTCGTTAATAGCATTGGGCCACAAAAAAATATCGAAAGAAAAAAACCCTTTTGTAACTTCGTGAATTTCGTGCCTGAGACTCAGCGGTGCTGTATAAGTAAATCAACACTGTGAAGCTGTATATTTAGTTGATGTTGGAATATTCAGTCACCGATTTAAAGGGGTCGGTTAAAGACAAGGGAGGTGAATTATTGTTTTTGGTCATTGCGTAAGGGATTCAAAAATGCTCTTTGCGGAGATATGTTCGGCGAAAAAAAAAATCACTCCTGTATCCTCTGCAATTGGCAAAAAACATTTGTGCGTGAAATAACAAAGGGCCAACAAGGTTACATAAATGACTGTAATGTAGCCATCATGCCAAGGTCTGTCGCGTAAGTGGTCACGGTAAATATTTATGAACACTTGAATGCGGAGAGAATGTTTTTTTTTAATGTAACTTCATTATCGCGTCCTAACAGCACCCATTCAACTGTGGCCTTGAAGGCCACGTGATCGGGAGGCTGTGCCCCAACCGTGCAGCGATTGGTCGTTGCTCAAGCGGTGGAGCTGGGTGTAGTTTCGGGGTGAGTGTACATTTTTTTCAAGGACGTGCCAAACGAATCGAATGTCTGCCGCTAGATAATGTTGTGCGGAGAAATCGACATTTCCGCGCACATGAAGGAAATGCAAACACGCCCATATTTAGAGGCCATTTAACTCTTGTTGAGCACAGTGCACTGTGAACCCGGCGACCCGGGATGGATAGCTGGCCATGGCTAATATCGGTGGCCAGTGATCTACCTGACCAGATCCTTGGAGACCTGAATTCAATTCTCATCAGCGGGCAGAGAAATATTAGAACTGATCCTGGTCCTCCCCCCCCCCCTTCACCAACCTACACTGACAAGCGTGGTGATGTATGGTCAAACAACCTCCAGGCCCAACACGGTATAGGGAGGGCCCTCATCCAACAGTGGGTTGATTGGTTCTGGGCTGTAAATTTATACATATATATACAAAATATGTTTTAACTTTCAGGTTGTGATAACTGACGTATTAAATATATACTTCAACAACAAACGTTGCTCACAGAGAGTAATGTCACCTGAATCAATCTTCTCCCAATCAATTAATTCCGCGCATTCGCGTACAAAGCACGTGAACCAACCTCGGGAAAGCAAACGAGAGGCTTAGAGAGCTCGTCAAGGCTGCGTCGAAAGGTTTGCGGATGAGGCCAACACACAGATTAGAGTCGCCTGCCTGGCACACAGCCACGTGGCAATCCACAACGTAGAATTCAAATTTAGATTTAAAGCTTTCGTGACTGCAGGGATTCATCTTCTTGGTTCTTTCGGTAAAGTCACGTAGAAGGGAAATAATAAAATAATAATAATATTAAAGTAATGTTTTATTGTTGTTGTTTTATTATAATAAAATAATAATAAAATAATGTTTATTTTTTTCCCCTTCTACGTGACTTCAGTTATCACAACCTTAAAGTTACAATATTTATATTTATGTATAAATGTATGTTTTATTTTTATTATTTTATTATTTCCCTTCTACGTGACTTTACCGAAAAAACCAAGAAAACGTAGAATTCGAAAACTTTTTTTCGCCGTGCATCGTGAAACGGCCTTGCGTGTTTGGAATACGGGTGAAAATTGGACGGAGATGCGTGCTCGAAAGTTAACCCGTGGCAAATCGCATCCCGCAAAGGCGACCTCGTGTGTATTTGTTCTAACAATTGGTCACAACATCCACGAGGAGTGGCACAGCGTCGGGATTGCGGTAGATTGTCCCCCGTGGAATAGGCGTCACACCTGCGGCAGCTCCCACCAAGTGTGAAAATAGCATTTGTGGTATTTGCCTTTCCAAAGTATGCTACAGCCATGCATGAAAAATAACAATTCATTTTTTTTATTGCCGTGCCATCTATTCTGTTTCCAATAAAATAAATTTCTGACACACTATACTGGTCAATTGTTTAATTTTCTAATACTTGTATTTCGGTTGTCATCTTATTTCTTGTTTTTACTCCGTTATAATATTCTGTTTCATCGTCTTTTTATTTCCCTTTTCTCACAATAGTTTTTAACTTCAAGAGGCGGCTCAGGATGCACGTACGTATGTTGAACTTCTTTCGCACCGTACGTAGCCAACTGTGCCAATCGGGAGGTGCGAATCAGAGTAACGAGCCGACGCGGCTGAAATCCTGGGTTCAAATCTGGCTTTTCACATGTGGTGGAGGGAGCTGTTGCCTCGACCCAAAATGACTACGCGACAAAAAAAAAATCCAACAACAAACATCAGCTGGGCGATGAATCCACCACTAGCATGCGTCACCTCCGGCCTAGCCCCCCAGTGGAGCTTTCGGACCCCCCCCCCCCCCCCCCACTGCTAGACACTCGTCATCACCACCACAGACGCCGGTGGCTGTAAATCCCTTCCCTGTTCCCACGTCCGTGCTACCCGTCGACAGCAACCCCCGGCAGTGACCAGCCGTGGTGAAGTATGGCCAAGTTACTGTCACGTGACGCACGCCATGAGCCGTGGGCAGGGAGAGGGGGGGGGCTCACACAGCAACAGCGCACTGCATGAGCAGTATGTCCCATCTTCTGTGACTGCAAATCAGTATTTCCCACTCGAATACCGCTTTTAGAAGACTGCACAGGTGGGGATGACACCGAGGGCAAGGAGTTCACAACAGCCTCACACCAATTACACCGCTTCAAGCGCACTGCGGGAATTACATTGGCAAGCGACAGCCCCAGGCTTTATGAGACAAATATTCTTAGGTTTTTTCGGTAAAGTCACGTAGGTTTCACCTGAAGACGGAAGCTTGTGTTGCCTCCGAAACGTCGTGAATTTTATTTTATTTTACTTTTATTAATTTTAATTTTAAAAAAATTACCTACGTGACTTTACGGAAAAAACTAAGAATATGAATCCTTGCAGTCACGAAAGCTTCAAATCTAGAATTTATGAGACAAGTTCGAGAAGAGAAATAATTGGGAGCGGACTCAACGTTTCTTCAGGTGGCCCCCACTCCAAAAAAAGGGTTATGAATGCTCAACCACTTACATTAAAACGGGGATTATCCTCGTTGCCATGGGAGCTGCCACCTTTACTCTTTAAGTATGTTTTACGGCTCGATGAACCCTGAGAAGTGAGCGTTTATAGACCGCGAGAAAACGAAGTTTAAATTTGTTGTGCAAATACGCACGCAAAGGTTCCCGTACGTTCACCACAAAGACGTCGACACACTTATAACGCTACACCACAGTAACCCCCCCCCCCTTGCAAGTTTACGTTTAATAACAACTGCGAGCCGAAAACGTAATCGCACACGCGCACATATGACAAACGCGCAGCTGCCAACTCCGCCGGTGAGTTTAAAGGTACGGTTTGGTACGGCGCGCATCCCCGAAAGCGCGATCGACTCACCGACACGGCGGCTCTCACGCGGGCAGGGAGCAAGTTGGGGTCATTCGACGGAACGTGTCTTCGAAATTCTCCGCGGCAAGAAGGAAGAACTCGGGAACCATCGCTCGCCGGTTGCTTCTCACCGTCTTAAAAGCGTGGCCGCCCAGTGTCAAGTGCAACCAGCGCAGAGTTCCACGGGGAGGCTGCTGTATTGATTTATATTCTGTATTCCAAAGGTCGCCAGTAAAGTTGCTTCCGTGAAAGAAAAAAAAGAAAATTTTTTTACCGCCGTCAGAGGCGCACTTTGCGTGGCACGAAACGGCTCACTCAGCCAATGGGTACCTGCGCTGCTGTTTTATGAGCGTGCAGACACGCAGATGCGAAGGTTTGCCTGCCTGCCTGATGCTTGCTGAGTTAAAAGTCATGTTTTTCAAGTCAGAACATACTGAGTAATGAAAAAAATAACCGAAAGCCGATGGTATTTTAAATCTAGATGCACTTTTAAATCCAGATTGAGAACTCGATCTTTAGAAGTACGTTTTTGTGTTTAGCTCGTTGTCCTTCCCCCGCACCTCCGATTTAGCACGGTTGGCTACGTACGGTGTGAAAGAAGTTCAACATACATCTGAGTTACACTTGCCCCTACAGTCTGTTAAGGCTATATGGGGGATCTTTGTCTTTGTGTAGTCAATGGGTTGTGTTCATTATCTATTTTTTTTATTTGCTCAGGTTCACAATGTTATCTTTCAACAGCACGAAGTAAAAGAGAAACCACGCCACTGATGTTGGTGTACAATAACCCCCACGTATAACCTTAAACAGATGTTTGGGGCAAGTGCTGTTAGTGAACACCTATTAAGGCCAGCACGGCACGCGAAGGGGTGGGTGGCAAGCACCACGCCCGGCCACGCCTGTCGCCGAATACTGATGTTTACGCATTGCAGGCTGAGCCAATCTAGGTGAGGCCCGGAACGGCTTCAGATATGTCATCACCGACGTTGGCTGTGAACGGGAATCGAACTCGGATGGCCTGACGGGTTCGTAGCACATAACTAACAGCACCCGCCGCTCCCCAATCCCAGAGACACGACGCCACACGCAGAATAAAATTCACGTTATTGCCACTTCTCCTGGGATGATGCTACTAGCAGAGAGGAAGGGGGAGTGTTGGAGTCGGGCGGGTGCTGCTGTGGCTGGGAGCGGCGCTGCTTCTCGGCGCTAATTGCCGAGGACAAAGCGAGACGGTTGTCAGCGCGGCCCCACGGCTGGAAATTTGATTCTCCGACAGCCCGACGGAAACTCAATTTGCGCCTCGCTCTGCCTGTGTGAAGACACTTTAAAAAAAAAATATTTTTTTTTGCCGGAGGATGATGATGATGCTGCTGCTGCCACTCACAGCGGCAAGTCCGTTCAGTGCTCACGTGGAGTTGTGAATCTCACGCGCGCGCGGAAGACACGCGGTGTAATGGGCGTACCGGTGTCTTAAACTTACTCTTTGGTTCTTTCGGTAAAGTCACGTAGGTAGAAATAAAATAATGTAAAATAAAAACAAATCACGACGTTTCGCTCGCAGCACAAGAAATCCTCATCGGGTGGGACGACCACAGCAAGAAAAAAACATGCTGAAGTGGGCGAGAGAGCTGCAGTGAAAAGAGGTTATATAGGTAAGAAAATGGGAGGAGCAAGGGTGTTCCCACGTGATCAGGATTGCTTGTGTTGCGATCGAAACGTCGTGTTTCGTTTTTATTTTAGTTCATATTATTTTATTTCTACTTACGTGACTTTACCGAAAGAACCAAAGAGTATGGATTCCTGCAGTCACGAAATCTTCAAATTCTTAAACTTACTTTCCACTTTTACGCCAGTTTATATATATACACAGTAAAGGTGCAGCCCTGTTTTTCTTGCTCAGGTTACTGCTGGCGATAGAGTTTACACTTACAGGGAGCTCTAGGGAGCCCCGAGGAATACGTTGGAGTGTCCCCACATTATCCCACCGCGTGCGATGTGCCAAGCAGCCAATTGTGGTGCACCCCATAATAATTCTGCGGACAGAAGTGGGGAGAGTGAAGAAACTTTCAAATCACACACACACACACTAATTGTGACAGGTGGCGCCGGATCAGATAGTCAAAACTCCAACTTCTGATGGCCTCGAATGCCCAAACTTGCACCCAGGAGGCGATCACGTGTCTCAGGAGTCAGAACACTGAGCCAGCGCCAATGAGATGGGCGTCACGGTGGCGAGATGTTAACTACCTCGCCTGGTGTACAGGACGTCATGGGTACGATCATGACCCTAACGCCTGCATACTTGGAGTTTGCATGTTCTCTCCGTGGTGGTCGCGTCGATTTTCCTCAGGGTCCTCCGCTTTTTTCCCTCCACATTTAGAAACACGCGTTTAGAGTTTCCGGCTGCTCTAGATGACCACGTGATAAGCCGCCATTTGTAACAGCCAAGTCTCTTCTGAAAAGCGCTACGTAACTCAGTGGGCCTTACCTGGTAAAATAAAAAAAATAGTTTAGAATAGTAAAATAATTGTTTATAACTCACATTCGTCAATAACATTGCACTGAATATGAAATATATAATAGGCGACGTTTTGGGCCATGGCCTCTATTATGAATAAGAGCCATTGTCTGAAACGTAACCTGTTTGATTTATATCTTGTTTTCCTTAAACATGAAAGTGAAAACTTACTTCTTGCTCAAAATGAGCATATAGGCAGCACTAATCTCTGGTGTGTTTGTTTCCTTTGAGGGCAGTGCTATTGATGAATGGATTGTGGGGTTTTTTGTAATTTGCATTGCTCACAGGTCCAGTACCAGACGTCAGAACTGCAGAGTCTGCCTCTGCTGTGATGGCACCGAGATTAAGGAACGGCCTGCCTGACCACATTACTAAATAAACGAACTCGGATCGAATCAAGAACAGACTTAAGAATTACCCTGTTTACTTTAACTGTGAAGAATGACTCATTTGTATTGTGTAAGAAAACACGCAGATACTTAATGCTAATTTTATTATATTGTGTTTACTTACGGGGAGCGGTGGCACAGTGGTGAAGTCACTGCAATAAATAAACGGTAAGATTTCCGGCCACGGCTAACATCACTGGCGAGTAGGTCACCCCACTTATAACCAGCTGGCAAAGCGAGCTGTGGTGCGGTATGGTCAAACATTTGTGGCCAGGTGGCTTCTGAAAAAGAGCTACTGTATATAGCTCAGTGGGCCTTAACTGGTAAAAAAAAACATATATAGAGAGATTGTGGGCTCGCATCTGGGTTTCAGCCACCAGCCATTAAGCTGGCTTCTCAAGTGCGAGATGCTGGTGTCGGGTCCGTAAACGAATGATTACACAAACAAGCCGCACCGATGAATTGCATTCCATTAATTTAGCTAAATTGCATCATCATTCTGGTATAACTGCCATGAGGCAAACATTTCTTCGCAGCAGAGCGCGTGGGAAGTGTGGGACTCCGAGTGTGGATAAGAGGTCACTTGGTGGGCCCTCCGAACTAGTTCCATGATATCACATTCTGCGGGTCACTCGCTAACATGATGCACAGTTTCTGCAAGAGTTCCGAGTAGACATTTCGTCCGTCTCTTCCAGCACAGTTGGAGGTCAGACCAAGAGTTTAAAACAAAACACCACCCCGAGATGGTTGCCATGCTTAGACGTGCTGCACGAGTTACTTTTCAAGGTGTGGAAATTTAAACATTACATGTAAAGTTTACAGAGTGACTTGCCTAAGTGTGTGTGTGCGCCCTGTGCCCGAAATACATTTCACCTGTTTGTACTGCCAAAACATCGACCTAGACTGGGCTGACAAATGCACCATCGCGTGTCGCGCGACCCTTCTAGAACAAACCCACCCAGTGATCGCTATTTACCCGCGACCCTTCAGCGAGCGACCATTCGGGTGAGGCGTGTTTGCAAAGTTGCGTGGAAGGAGCGGCCGGTTCCAGGCCTGACTGACTTAACAATCAACCCAAAGCTCTTCACGAGTAAAAATTTTGACTAAAAACTTTCATGACCGCAGGAATTAATATTCGTGGTTCTCTCGGTAAAGTCACGTAGATAGAAAATAAAAAGATAATTTTAAAAATGTAAATGAAAGCAAAAATCCCACTTTATATTTATTTATTTTAGAATATATATTTTTTATCCACGTGATTTTACCGAAAGAACCAAGAATAGACTCTTCACGCGTGTCAGTGATGTAGGGCAGTGGGAAGGTGGGGGCCTCCACAACAGCCCCCCTCTGTCCAGGTGAGAAACGACGACGAGCATCGTCCTCGACCCGGCGAGCGGACATCGATCACCGGGTTGTTTACTTTATTTGAGTTTCGTATGTTCAGTTTGTTGTCGTTTCTCAGGCACCTCCGAATAGCACGGTTGTCTACGTACAGTGCAAAAAAAGTTCAACATACATACGTTGATCAACCACATACCTGTCAACCCATTCCGTGTACCCGCATTATTGTACAGGAAAATTGAGCACAAACATTTTTATTTGTCAAAATTTGTTGTGTTTCTCCCTTGCGATGGAGTTTTGTAGGATAAAACGTTGAGACTTATAAGGGCACGGGGTGACCAATAAGGTCTGAATTGGTCTGTAAGAAGCTAGGGCACTGCCAAGGGGTTGACAGGTATGCAACCATCTCACGGTCTCAGGAGTACCATCTCAAGCCACTGTAACGGCCCTCTTCTCCAGGGCCAAACAACCACACTCCCAGATCGGTGTCCCGGAACCAGGCTCCTCCACCGCAACACTGAGGGATTCTTCCGGGGCGAAGGGCAAGAACCTCGCGGGCGTGTCTGAAAGATGCGTGTAACACCACCGTCCCCACGTCTCCACAAAGCGCACGCCTCCAGTGACCAACAGGCCCAGCCGCTACAGCACCCATGGATACAACACTCACGACCAGCCACTGCCCTTAATTACAGGTTTTTGGGGATATATAAATGCATCGGTAAACCCACCACCACCACCCAACACTGCCAATTAGTAAGGGTTGTCACGTAAACAGAACGTGCAAATTCGTTACTAGTACAGCACACCGGTGTGTTGGAGAGCCAAGCCACAACATTTACGATCTGATGACGCTAGTTGTAATTACTGTCGCACGACAAAAATATGGGCTGCCCCCCCCCCCCCATGCGTGCGTGAAGTGGGATGGTAGTGACGGTAACGGGGCAGCCCGGAATTTCGTTTGCTCATGCCACTGCTGGCCCCTCTATAGAGGGAATTCTTGCCTATATCGTCAATGCTCTCCAGGCATCTTGGACAAAAGTTTTTGGGTTA